TCAGACGCAAATTTGCGTCTACACCAAAATTTTTGCGTTTGGAGTTTTTAAATTGCAATCCACTCCATTTTTGTACCTAAATTGTATATTGGCCATTAACTATTTTTTAAAGCTAAATTATATACCATCTATTAATTGTGAATCAAGAAAAAAAAATGCATCATTCTTCCCATCTTGATCGTAATATAATTTTTATTATGATAAAAAAATATTTTGTTAATTATGTCAATTAATTAATTTGAGTTAGTAGATAAGATAATTTCATTTATAATTATTTTGCTTGTGAAGTACACTCAAGTATAAAATATAACAAGTATATATGTAGTGTGTATATTACATCCACGGCTAAAAAAAAATATTTGTAAAAAATTTCATAATATTTGTAATTTTTAATATTATATTGTGTGTTGTAATTTTTAAATTTTATTTTTTAATGACTATTTATTTCTTTCTTTTTTTATTTCATTTTAGTCCTTTCAATTATATTTTGATTATATGATAATTAAATTAGTGGATATTACTTATATATTTGTTCAAAATAATAATAATAGTGTAAAATAATTAGAAAATTAATTTCATAATGATTAGATAATATGATATTTAAAATAATAATTATTTTATCTATCATTTAATTTTATATACTATTTCACAATAATAATGTAAATATGCATATTATTTACGGTACTTTTTTTTAACAATAAAAGAAAACACTAGCATTAAATAACAACAACATTACAAATACATATTGAAATAACATTAGTACATGATAGATCACTGTTCAAAGAAAAACATTTCAATAGCTAGTGCTGAAATAAAAATACAACATCACACGGTAATGAAATAAAAATACATCATAAACCCAACAACTGAAAACAAGCACGAATACTTAGTCATCTGGCAAGTTGGCACCGCTTCCCCCAAGATCATTGAAAAATTGGCCAAATGCATTGGTTGGATATGGATCCGGTTGGACTTGTTGAGCTCTTTTCTCCAAGATTCGTGCCTTTTCAGCTTCAATAAGCTCGAACTCTAGGATCTTCAATGGAATTGACATCTTGAAACCGAATTTTATTTTCTTCCCTCATTTCTTTTAAAGCTTGGGATCTATTGTGCATCTCCATTTGTTGTTGTATTTGGTCGTTTGCATTTTTCATCTCCTCGACAAGTCTTTTATTTGCTTCCTTCATCGCATTGATGAGCGATGATGAATCATATTGCACTTCGGAATGCACTAATTGATCATTTGTGGGAAGAATTCGCCAACTCCGAGACTTGAAAGACTATCTATTTTTACGTGATTGTTGTAATTTTCTATTTTATCTTGTGTGTCGTAATTTTTAAATTTTTATCTTGTGTGTTGTAATTTCTAATTTTATCTTGTGCGTTTTGATTTTTTATTTTATCTTGTGTGTTGTAATTTTTAATTTTTCATCTAGTGAATTACAATTATTAATTTTATTTGTGTGCTCAAATTTTATTTTTTAATGAATACTTATTTCTCCGATTTTATTATGTATAATTAATTCTAATTACATAAAATCCAAATTGAATTTAAAATAATAGTGTGGTTTAATTTGTAAAGTTGTAAAATATGTGGGTAGTATTGAAAAGTTATAAAAGTTGGTGTAAAAGAGAATATTATGAGAATATTCTTTTGGGTATGAGAATGAGTTTGTCGGTTGGAAATGAATTACTGCAAAATGGGACACTTACTGCAAAATGGGTTTGAGTTTGAGTTTTTCGGTTGGAGATGGCCTAAGTCTGTGTATCAATGTCTGGTGCTTCTAATAATGTGTCGATCGGTTTCATGATTCATTATTTTATTTGTCAAATTATGATGGCACAAGCAATTCTATGTAACTCGGGACTTTTATTCATGCATATAGTAACTTTTAAAATTATAAAATATTTTGCCAGTTCAAATTATAATAATATATTTTTACAAAATTATTATTTCTATATTTGTTATTAATATTTAATACACAATACAACAAATTAATCACATTTCGATGATTTTTTGAATTAGTATTCGTATTGCATATATAAAAGGCTTAATTGCTTATAAATGCATGACCTTTTCGAAAATTGAAAAATATGCACCACTTTTAAACTTGGCAAAAATATGCACCACTTTCATTATTGTTTGTAATTTTATGATCAGGGCCCAATTTCGGGCTTTTCTAATCGATGTGGCATTATTTTTTTCAGACGTGCCAATTGTTATTTCAAATCTATATTCCACGTCGAATCTCATCAATCGACCAGCGATCCAAAAATTCCTCAAATTTCCTCAAACCCTAAATACGAACGGATTTTATGCACGAGGCGGTTCGAAATGCACAACGAAAAGCCAAATCGTCGAAAAATAAATCACCCGGTGGAGGGCAGTGTTCGCCTATATTTTTAAAGCTCGACCGCAAGTGTACGGCTTCACTCGTAGTATGTGGCAAGCAAGGTCGTATCCCAAGAGACCAAACAACCAATTAATCAAGTACTAGATTATGATAGTGCCAATTTTATCTAGACGACCGAATATAAGATTGATGAACTAAACTAAGAAAATAAATCAAAAGATAAGAAATCAATAACAAGAAAACAACTAGAAAAAAACTTAAGAAGAATATATGGGAATGGTAGATTCTAAGACTATGGGTTCAATTAACAGTTGGGTTCCTTCAGATATATCACAATTAACTATTTTCTTTATCTACCCTATAAGATGATCACACAATTAGCCTATCGTCCCTCTCGAGATCGATAAAACCGTAGATTAAATCACATATATTAGCGTCTCCACTCAACACATGCAATTCAACTCCAAATAGATTAAAAGATCTAAATCCTCACAATTACCTACTAATCTCTCGATTCAAGCAAGTAAATTATGTCAAGTATTAAAGACCTAATATTGAACTCATCTCTCGAATTATGAACAATATTGTCAAACATGTAAAAGAATTGATCAAGTTCTAAACATGGAATAAGAACAAAATACTTGAATAGGGTTCAAAAGAAAAACAATCAATTATAAATAAATCATCCAAAATTCCAACATATTAATCTACTACCAAGTCTTAGAATCAATAAATCTAGCTACTCATGTTCGAATTCAAACACATAGACATATTAGAAATCGACATGATCAATAAAAGTTCAAAAGGAAAGAAGAGATAAAAACTAGGAATCTCGTTGATCTTTCAATCTCCTTGATCCCTTCGTAGTTGATCTTCCTTTTTGCTTTCCAATTGCTTCTCTTGTGTGTTCTAGGGCTCTCCTCCTTGTGTTCTCACGTTCTCCCCTTCAAAATAAGGTCAATATGCCTTTTTATATGTCCAAAACCCTTCTCCTTATCCAAAAAGGCAAGCTTTAAAAATCTGTCCGCACACGCGACACGGCCAGTCTGCCCGTGTCGCAGTCCGTGTCGCTGCCCGTATCAGGTACCTGGGCTTCGAAATTTCTCTTTTGAGGTGACACGACCTCTGACACGGGCCTGGTGCCCGTGTCACTGCCCGTGTCACAAATCTGCATTCTATTTTTCACTTGTTTCACTCGTTTCTTCCATTTTTTTCATCCGTGCTTCAATCTTTCATCATCCCGGGGTTCCTAGGTACTCACCATGCACCTCCAATAGCCAAAAGCTCTACAAATATATAGAAATATCTACAAAACAAGCACGTGTAATACCTTTCCAACAAGATATAAAATTAAAGCACAATAATGCAATTTATACACCAATAATGCAATGACTAAGCTCTAGATACTCAATAAATATGGTGTAAAATCACAAATGAACAGGCAGATCGAGATTTAAAATATACCAGTTCAAAACCTGCGGCAGGACTTTCCCCTCATTTCAGGCTTTGGGCGGCCACCGGGCGAGCCATAAGAAGCCCAATCGAAATAATTCCCCGACGGCCGGAGAGGAAGGTGGATCGATTTTGTCCGACGCCGCCGCCGCTGATGTTTCTCCCCCGCAATTGATCGGTAAGGGTTTGAATATAGAGAGCAAAGTGAAAATTCATGAGTGCTCCATCTGCGGATCTGAATTCGGGTCGGGGCAGGCGCTGGGCGGCCACATGAGGAAGCACAGGGCCGCGAGCAACAACGACAACGCTAACAAAAGCACCAATGGCTGCGAGTCGTCTCCAAATGAAGTTGGCAGGAGAGCTGGGAACGTGGCAGCAGTCGATTTCGATCTTCCCCAAATTTTCTCAAACCCTAAATTGAAGTTAAAGTGAATCGATATTTCCGCGTGTATTCGGTTTTTTCAAGTTAAAGTGAGATAATTGACACGTCTGAAAAATAATGCCACATCGATTAGAAAAGCCCAAAATTGGGTCCTGATCATAAATTTGCAAACAATAATGAAAGTGGTGCATATTTTTGCCAAATTTAAAAATGGTGCATAAAATTGCAATTTTCGAAAAGGTCATGCATTTATAAGCAATTAAGCCTATATAAAAATATATATCCTTACAAATATAAACCAAATAAAATAGCAATGCAAGTTTTAGAATTATTTAAAACTTAAAACAAAGACTTAATCGTCAGGTGAGTTGACCTTTGATATTTTTGTAACAAAAAACGTATATTTAGATTGAAATGTATTTTTGTAACAAAAAATGTATATTTATATTGAAACGTTATACTTTTATTCACATTGCTTTTAAAATTATCATTTAAGTTTCAAAGTAATTTTATATATATTATTTTTAGAATATCACATTTCAATAAGAAAAATACATACAAATAAAAAAATTACCTTTCTATTATTAAACCACCTGACCAACAGTACTCTTGCTACATTGTTAAGCCGGCTTTATTGTTATCACAATTACAATAATCTTGGTATGGCCTCACCGACCATATTACAACTCACCTTCGTAAACAAATTAGCTACCGGTGGCGTGTGGCATCCATCTCAAAGCATTGAAAATGTGTGATACTAACTTATTATTTGATGTTAACAATATAAGGAAAAAAAAACACAAAGATGAAGCCTATTTTTGTGGTGTTGGTATCTTCATTGACTTGATGTCCTCAATGAGTCGATCCATATCCGCATACGAAGACCCGCCTTCACTCACACTCGCTCGGGCTAGTTCGGCCACCTCGCTCGCCCTCTCTAGGAAACTATCCTTTTTCGACACCATAACCTCCCGAATCATCCTCTCCACCACGGCCCGGTCGCACGTGTCCTTCATGTCAAGCCCGACCTTCCAAACGGCCTCCACGTACCTACTGTTGACCTGCTGGTCCACAAAGTACGGCCAGCAGATCATCGGCTTCCCCTCGACAATGCTCTCCAGAGTCGAGTTCCACCCGCTGTGAGTCAGAAACCCACCCACGGCCGGGTGGCCCAAAATCTTCTCCTGTGGAGCCCAACTCACAATGCGGCCCCTCTCCTCTGTCCCCCGTAAAAGTTCCGGAGGAACCTCGCCGGGCTCAGGAAAACCCGACGCGACAATCGACCCAGGCCTCTGGACCCACAAGAACCTCGACCCGCTATTCACCAGGCCGTGCCATACCTCGAATAGTTGCTCCCTAGTAATAACTGCCAGGCTCCCGATGCTGACGTAGATAACGGATTTCGAGGGCTGCGCGTCCAGCCAGGACACGCATCTCTCGTCTTCTTTCCAAATACTACTGGAGACTCGAGAGGCCTCCACGCCCAACCTGGTTTTGAGGTGGGCGTGGAGGGGCCCGACTGCGTACACTCTCGGGCACACGCCGTGTAGTTGGGATAGTATGGGGGCCTCTAGCTCTTGGAATGTGTTGAAAATGAGGCCTTGGGATAGGGGGATGTGTTTGTCCTCTTTGAGGACAAGTTGTATTATGCGGTCGTTGATGTCCTTTGTGCGACAAAAGCTAGGGAGGTCACGGCGCCTAATGATGCCTTCCATGCCAGGCAGGTTTGTTATCATCTCGTCCAAGTTGTCATCTGTGGACAGACCCAATAAGAGAAAATATCACCGCATAACAAAACCTTTTTTTTTTGGATATAAATGTTAAAAAACTGCAGGCATCAAGACAATGAGCCAGCAAAGAAGCCCATTTTTCTGACCTACCCAATAAATTTAACATATGTGTGTATCCAAATGAAGCCAAATCTGGTGCATTAAAAATTGTTTGTTGTGATTTGTGTGATTTTGGTAGCTGCAATCCTATCAGAGGCTAATTAGTAACTAGATATTTTTTTTTTTTTTTTTTTTTAATAATGCCTGTTTTCTTTTGTAAATAGGATATTGTAACTATATATTTATATTTTTAGAAAAATAATACAGTCCTGTTACGAAATCGTTTCGTCGGGATTTATAATCGTTAGATCATCAGATAATCGTCGTGGATAATTGATCTAACGGTTACAAACCTTAACTGAATGTTACGTAACGGGACCGTAGAATTTTCACGACGGGCCGTTTCCTTTTGTGAATAAGAAAATTGTCAACATTTTCGGACAACGTGCTAGGAAAGACACCTCATACTACTAAAAGATTCAACCAGTAAACTCACCAAGTTTTTTCACCATTTAGATCAGTAAATACATACACACATACATTTAGAGTGTAATTAATTTTAATGATGAAAATTTTGAAATTTACCATGGACCAAAACAGATTCCAAAAGGAATGAATTAATTAAATTAGTTGTAAAGCAATGTTCGTGGTGCCTAATTAATGGTCCCAAGTTGACTTTCTACACGTGATCCAAACTGTATACACACCATTTTTAGTCACACTATCTACACGAAAAGCATATAATATTATTATTATTATTATAGGAAAATGTTACAATCACGTTACGGAACCATTTCGTTGGGGTGTGTAACCATTAGATCATCATGTAACTTTTGATCTAACGGTTACAAATCCCAAAAAATTTGTTCCGTAATGGGACTGTAGCATCTCCCATTATTATATAGTAGACAGTTAAAAGTATTGCAGCACACAGAAAACAGGCCCCAATTTTGGAGCAAATATGATCACAAAATTGGTAAACAAAATAATTATTTTTTTCCCCTAAAAAACCCTGATATATCAAACTGATTTCATTGAAATTAACATAAATAAATAAATGAAAAAAAAAACACATCTCCTTATTAATTAGTTATTAATAATTCAATATTACCTTTAAAAGGAAACTCCCCAGCTTGAATGAGTTTGGGCAGGCACATGTAAGTCCACAGCCCACAAGGACTAATAGTGTCGAAATACAAGAGCGGGATCCCGGCCTCCTTAGCCACGTCGACCGCAAACGTAAAGATCCCGTCGGCGATCACGCACGTGACGGGCTCGTCCGAGCGGTTGACGACAATCTCCCGGAAGACGGGGACGGACACACGGTCCATGGAGTCGAGCAGGGCCTCGATCTGGTCCCCCGTGCGGGGGTTATCGGGTGGAAGGCCATCGGGAAGCGTCTGGAAGGTGAAGAGGCCCGGGTACTGGTTGGGGAAGTAGTGGGCGGCGGCGGAGGGGAGGCGGGCGTGGACGTGGTGGGTGTTGAGGAAGGTGGTGCGGATGCGGGCGAGGCAGAGGAGCTCGGCAAGCTTGAGCATACAGTTGAGGGGGCCTTGGAGGGGTAAAGGGAATATCAGCACATGAGGCCTGCGTGCTTTTGTTTCGTTACTCATATTGATTATTGGCTCACTTTTGGTGATCACTCGTGAAACACTATAAAATTATGATGCAACTTTAGCTTGCATTACGAGTCACCATATTATAGGTCAATTTGATCGGATCACACATTTTAATTTTTATATTTAATAATAACTATAATATAATATTATAATACTACGATTCTGTTACGAAATCATTCTGTCGGGATATGTAACCGTTAGATCAATTATCCCGATAATTACATGATGATTTAACGATTACAAACCCGACGGAATAGTACCGTAACGAAACAATAGTATTTCTCTATAATATAATAATAAAATAAAATAAAAACCTTGGGATTGAAAGTCGTCTACATATTCCTGACCTTAAGGGGGCTGTGTCCATTCACGTGACGTACACAATTTGTTTGGTTATGGAGTTTCATTAAGATTGATTATTGGCTAAATTTGTCGGCTTTTGCATTTTGTTAAATGTGACTTGTTGGAATTTTATTTTTTTTGCAGGTTAAGGTGATGGTCCCTTTCCCTTACGTATACAACGTATTTTAGACGACTGTGGTTGGCTAGTAAAACAAATTAAAATCTTATCATTTAGGGCCTTGTCGTTTACGGGAGATGATAAGATCTCGTTACGTAACTATTTCGTGGGAGTTTGTAACCATTAAATCAACTATCTTTACGATTACATGATAATTTAACAAGTACAAACCCCGACAGAATGGTTTCCTAATGGGGCCGTAGCATCTCCCCTTCGTTTACTAATTTATAGTTAATTTTCTTTTAAAAAATTAATATGATTAATTGTTAGTGAAATTTAAGATATGTATTAAATAACTTTTAAAATAAATGATTAAAATTGATTTGATGTACAAGTATGATATATAATGGTGGAACGTTTTAGTTAGTTAAAATTGTATGAGTGTATGAATATTGAATTAAAGTTGATTTAATATGTAAGAATGATTGATTGATATTATTTAAAAATATTAATAATATTGAAAATTTGAGGCTAACTTAAAATTGAGTTAAATTTTAAGTATGAATTAAATATGAGTACAAATATTTTTATAACCAAACTTACTGAACTTTTCTTTGTCGGTATTATTATATTTTTTTCCATGGCTCCGTATTTTCAAAGAAAGATGGTGGGAGACTTTGTCTAACATAATCAAATTGTTTTGTTGGATCACTTATGAAAGTAATTGGTAGTTTATTCCAAAGCAATTGGTTCATGATTTTATTTGATTTTATGTTGGGTTGGGGAGTTGAAGAAAATATGTATTTTATTCTTTTACCTTTTTATATAAATTAAATGACTGGTTTAGCTAAGATCATATCGAACCAGGAATTCATATCATTCAGACATGACCACGGGTTGGCTCGGCCCATGAACCGACCCGTCCTGGCCGGTTTTTAAACCAACCGATTACGGTCATATTGTACTCCTTTCTAACCTGTCGGGCCGGGCCCGAGTTTTCTGACGGGTCCAGTTGTAATTTTTTGTTTTTAAAGCCGGCGGTTCAATTAGTCGTGCCGATTACGGGCCAACATTTGAGGCCCGCCGACTCGGTCGGGCTTTGCCACCTCTAATATCATTGTGAATGGTTTGATCTAATTTTTTTAATTTTTATTTCACTAAAATAGTATCGCCAAGTATATACCTAGAAAATAGAAATGGACACTACAAAATAAATGTTATATTTCAACGGAAAATCCTATGGTAATATATTCCAATAGAAATTCCAACGGATATTCCAATGGAATAGCTTCCGTTGGAATAGTTCCAACAGAAATTCCAACGGAAATATTCCGTTGGAATGTGTTTTTCATTGGAATTTTAGATGGAATTTGATGATTCCAACGGCTATATTTCCAACGACTTTTTACCGTAGGAATTTCCGTGGGAATATGCAAATTCCGTTGGAATTTTTTTTCCACCCCCGTTGGAATCGTCAAAATCCAACGGAAATTCCAATGGAAAATCCATTCCAACGGAATATTTTCATTGGAATTTCCGTTGGAATCCATTGAAAAATTCCAACAGAAATAATAGTATTGAAATATCCGTTAGAATTGCCGTTGGAATAATTCTTTTGAATTATATTTCCTTTGGAATTTCATCATTTTCTTGTAGTGGGATAGCATCAAATATAAAATATTAATTCTGTTATGTCCGAATTTCAAAAAAAAAAAAAAATGTAAGTTGACAACTTAACATTAAACTTTTTATTCTATTATGATGGAATTTAATAAAAATAAATGAAACTTAATGTGTATAATATATAATTATATGAGAATGACAAATAATAAAAGAAATAAGAATAAATCAGAATGCAGCAGTGTTAAAACTCTCGAGGGAGAGCTTTGCCGCCCTTGTGGTCCTACCCGGCTCGATTCCGGATTAGTCGGTTCCCCTGTGGATCCAGAAACCGGAATGTCCCTGTACAAAAAAAAAAAGAAATAAGAATAAATCAGAATTATTAAAAAATCATCATATGAATGGTCAAATTGAAGTCAAAGGTTAATAATTAAGGTCAAATTCTGATTGTGGTTTTATAATTAACTAGTCACATATTAGTCAAGAGTATGCCTCTTTTTAGTGGTGTAATTTTCACTTACACCCATTCACTTCACGAACATATGGGCCCCACCCAAACCCTACCAACCCTCAATTCTCTCTCACACACAAATACCCTCACACTTCACACACGCGAACATAGAACACACACTCACACATTACACTCACACACACACACACACACATGTATTGGAGATCCACGACCAGATCGTGTGACTCTGACGAGGAAGCGCCGGCAACCGCTCTGACTCCACATTCCTCTGCGAGCACTGTGATGCGGCGCCACTGTCGCCAACCACAATGGGTCCCCGTGTGCAAAGTGTGCAAACAGGCTCCGCCGCCGTCACCTGTTGGACTGACTATGTCACGCCTTCGACGACAACGTCCACTCAGCCACCCCCTCGCTCGCTGCCACGGAATAGGTACCCACCGAGCTCACCTGCGACACTGTCGACCAGAAGGCCTCCGTGGCAGAAGGCGAGGCGGCCCTCAACAGGAAGCTCGACGACAAGCCTAGGACGTCAGATTCCTAGTCGGCATTGCCATAGGTCGATAATAGAGGAGTTGGTGGTACTGGGGGAAGAGAAATATGGGGCTGATTTTTGAAATTTTCATCACTCCCGGTAAAGAATAAAGAAAGTAGAAAAAACCCTTAAAAACCTTTGCCGGTGCTAACTTGGATCTCGGATGACGGAATGGGCCAGAAGCGACAAGCAGTCGCGCAGACAAAGGCTCGACAAAACTCTTAGCTCGATGAGCTGTCAAATTGGTCTCTCTCTTCGCAAATCGTCAGACCAAAGTGTCGGACAAATCCATCCTTCGTACTGTTCACCCGCATGGGCCACCCATTGAGACTCATACTGTAAAGGCCAACCTACAATGGCCTTCATGGAGCCTGGTCTCAGAGACCCAATTGCAATTTTATAAATTTTAATATATTATAATTTAGCTCATGGGTCAAGCTTATAATTAATTAAACATAACTAATATTTTAATATCTTATTTAATATTAATTTTTTTCATTTATGGCTAAAAGTAAATAATATTTTTACATAAAGATATAAAATAATAACAATAATATTTTTTATATAGTGCATTGAAAAGATATAATATACAAAATACAAAAATGGACAATGTGCATTCCCACGAACGCTAATGTGCAGTTCGTCTAACGTGTTATTGTTCAGTATATTTTTTTTTATGTGCATTTCTTTTTTTTTTTTCGAAACGACAGGATTAAATATAAAACTCAGCCAAGAATAGTACAGAGTTCGGATCACCAACTGGCATCAAAAGGAAAAAATACAGAGGAAGACCACTTCCTAACTAACTAAGTAGCTTGGCGCCATCTCCGGCAGAAGCAAATTCTTCAACCCCGCAGACTGATTCCAACCTACTAAGCAATCTTGAGATTAATCAAAGGATCTCAAGAGCAAAACCAGCAAAATTAACAGACCACTGCACCACAGGGGCCTAGTCTGTTAACAAAACCTACTAAGGAACACAAAGCAAATGACTGTACAAAACAAAATATACAAAACAACTATCTACTAATAAGGGAAAATTCAGCCCATTCTTTCCATGCGCCATCCACTGTTGCCTTCTCTGGTCTTAAAACTTTTTCAAAAACCCATAAATTCCTCGTTTTCCACATCCACCATAGGATGTATGTGGAAAGTTGAATTCTTTCTTCTGAAACTTGGTTGTGAGGAAGAGAGCTCAGCTGTATCCACCAGGATTTAAAGGAATCTGTGAAGTTGCTTAGGCCCTCCCAGTTGATTGGAGCTAATTTCCAAATCAGTGCTGCTCTTTTGCATGAGAAGAACATATGTTCTTGTGTCTCTAAGGCTTCCCCGCAGAGTTGGCATACCTGGTCAATGGCCATTTTCCTTGTTGAAAGGTTGCCTAGGACAGGGAGTGTGTTGTTAAAGCATCTCCAAAGAAAGTGCCTCAACTTGGTTTTAACTTTGAGCTGCCATATTCTCATTCTGGCTTTCTTGAGCTCCTTGTGTCCTTGACTTCCCTCAGGTATGTCCATGAGACTCCATTTGTTGATGCTTAAATGCTTGTAGGCTGATTTCACAGAGAATTGGCCATTTTTGGCCCCTAGCCATTTTAGTCTGTCAGGTTTGAGGGGGTCTAAGCTTGAGATGCTAAGAATGGCTGTAGCTTCATGGCTTTCAAAAATAGCTTCTATTAATTGTCTATTCCAACTTCGACCTGAGGTTTCCATGAGATCCTTTACCCAATATAGTTCAGCATTGAGAGAGTTAGGCCGTGTAAGCTTGAAACCTGGTAAGTTGGGCACCCATGGGTGGTCTCTGATTTTGGTGGTTTTGCCATCTGATATTTCATACCTCATGCAGCCGCCCATAGAGTCTCTAACCTTTAGCCAACTTCTCCAGAGCCATGAGCTGTTTTGTTTGGCCTTTACAGAAAAGAAGTCATTATTGTGAAAATACAGGCCTTTCAAGATTTTGCTAACAAGTAGATTGGGTTGTGACAGCATCCTCCATATCTGCTTAGAGATTAGGGCCTTGTTGAATAGATGTAAATCATGAAAACCCAAGCCTCCTTTGTCTTTTGGTAGGGTGATGATGTCCCATGATTTCCAGTGGATGCCTTTTGCCTCTTTATTTTTGCTTCTCCACCAGAATTCTGCAGTTTTGCCAGCTATTTTATGTGCATTTCAATTTTAAAAAACTTTAGTAATGCATTTGTCAATCAATATTATTAGAAAATTTTAATAATCCGTATATACCCCGAATCACAACACGTTAATTGAGTCTCCAAAAAAATGAGAATAAGAAACAGATCCTCACGTTGAGACCTAAAGCTTCCCAAATGGTATGGCAATACGAAACTTCACGCCCGAGTCAAGTTGTCAGATATGTATGAATATCAATACTAGCTCCGAGACACAATCAAATGCCACAAAATGTAGAAAGTTTCAAAACATGTTGTCAACGGGCTTCCCGGTTTTTCAATATATACCCCAAAGCACAACAACGTTCCGACTCAATACTTACCCCATGATCGCTCCTGAGCTCCAATGATGTAATGGATTCCAAAGCGGCACACTTAAGTCAGCCGCTGGGGCGAGGGATCTGATTTTTTGCTTCTGCGTGGATTTTGAGCGAGGAGGTTTTTTGGAAACAAATGATTATCAAATGGTTTCTTTTTTAGTTTTGAGCTGTAGCTTCAGTGTGGTGTAACTATGGTTAGATTAGTATGTATTTTGTATAGTTAGCTGATGTTGATAGGGGATGGAAGTGTAATCTTTACATCCTCCTTTTCTGTTTAGCTTCAGTTGAAGTGCCTAGGCATGGATGGTGGAACTATGTGTACTCTTTGCTTTTGGAGAAATATATATTTATTCCTTTGAAAAAAAAAAAAAAAAAAAATTGATTCTTGTTCTCAAATTTTGTAATATTGACATAACTCTGTCCAACAAAGAAAGATTGGAGGTATCATTTGATGGAATTTTATAGAAAGACATTCAAAGATCAATCAAATCAACCAATTCAAAAACATGTATGCAAACACTTAAGATAGCCCCTCAAGCCCCCAGAACACAATCTTACTCAAACCGTAGACTTTAAAAACTCAATCAGCCTATTCAAATTCGTATACGACGTCCCTCCCTCACTGACCGCCTTTTTCGCCATCTCCGCCAGACGACAAGCCCTCCCCCAAAACTCCTCCTTCCTCTCCTCCATCATCTCCCGAACCATCCTCTCCACAATCCCCCGATCACACGTGTCCTTCATGTCCAGCCCCACCTTCCACACATCACTCACAAACCTGCTGTTTATCATCTGGTCCGCAAAGTACGGCCAACACAGCATGGGCATCCCGGCCGCTATCCCCTCCAGAGTCGAGTTCCACCCGCTGTGTGTGAAAAAAGCCCCGACTGCTCGGTGGGCCAGAACCTCGTTCTGCGGGACCCACCCGACCAGGTACCCTCTTTCCTTGGTGCCCTCCTCCAGCTCGGCCGGGATTGGGCTGTCCTTGTCATTCCCTACAATCGAGTCGGGCCTCATGACCCAGAGGAACTTGTGGCCGCTGTTGACGAGGCCGTACCAGAACTCGAGGAGCTCGTGCCTCGTCAGCAGGGTCACACTGCCGAAGCTCACGTAGAGGACGGACTTCTCGGGCTGGGAGTCGAGCCATGAGACCGAGCTGCGATCCTCCTCCCAGAAGCTGCTCGAGGGGAGGGAGGAGTCGTTTCTCTGAGCCTCAAGGCGGGCCTGGAGGTGGGTATGGAGTGGGCCAATGGAGTAGACGGTTGGAATGGGCTTCCGTATCTGGTCCATGATTGGGCCCTCCAGGTCCTCGAACGAGTTGAGTATGAGCCCACTGGAGAGGGCCGTGCCTCGGGTTTCGCGTATGATGGTCTGGAAGCCGGTGTCGTTGACGTCAGCCACCCGGCTGAACCCCGGCAGGTCGCGTCGCCGGAGGAATCCCTCCATGCCGGGGATGCTAGTCACGATTAGGTCCAGCTCTGGTTTTTTCCAGAATTCGTATTTGTCTTCGTCTTTGCCTTAAATCATCATCAAATAATTATAATGTCTTACTCAATTGATTTGGAGGTAGGTAAAACCAAAATAATTTTTCCCCAAAAAATTAAATTAAATGGATACCTCTGAGAGGGACTTCCCCAGCTTCAATGACCTGGTTGAAGGAGAAATTCGCCCAGAAGGAACACGCGCCGACGGTTCTGAAATAAATGAAAGGGATCCCCATCTCCTGGACCACGGGGACCGCGAAGCTGAACACTCCGTCCATGATGAGGCAGGACACGCGCCGCCTGGATCCGCCGTCGCTCAGGGCGTCGGTGGTCTCCATCAGCTTCCGGAACTCGGCTCCCCCGACATTCAGCAGGCTCAGCACGATCTCCATGGTCCTCTCGCCGGAGCGGGGGTGATCCTCCGGGAGGCCATCCGGTATCGACGCGACGCGGAATCCGGAGTAGCGGGAGAAGCGGGATTCAATGTCGGCGTGCTGGCGGAGGCGCGCGTGGGTGTAGTCCGAGAGGAGGATGGTGATGTGGAGGTCGGAGAGGCAGAGGATCTCGGCGAGCTTGAGCATGGAGTTGATGTGGCCTTGCATCGGCAGTGGGAAGATAAGGACGTGGGGCGGGAGGTCGCCGGCGTTCGATTGGTGGCCCATCTCCGTCGATTTGTGCGCGGTGGAGGGTAAGTGTTTGACTGTGGCTGCTGGAATTTTGCGATAAAGTGAATCTGGTCGGAAAATATAGAAATGAGACCAGCAAAGAAGAAGCTTACGTCATCCATGACGCTATAGTTGGACTCTTGCTAATTTGGCAAGTTGTGTGGCTGAGATTGTTGGTAGCATAATGTGCTCTCGCGCACATGGGAATATTATATTGACTAGGAGAGGGATCTCGTGCGCCGCGCGGACACGCTGCATGTTCACCAAACCACATACCGTCTTTCTGTCATAACTTGCCAAAATCGGATATCTCGATTATCATACAACTTGAATTTAAATTTTTTTTCATATATATGTGCTCTTACTATCTTCATCGATCGAATATAGATGTATCTATTTTAAAAAAATCGACAAACAAGGGCGGACCCAAGGGGGGTCCCGCAGAGGCACGTGCCCCTGTGAGGTGAAATTTTTTAACTAGTACATATATAATAGTGTGTAATGTAATATGTATACTATTTAATGTTACTAACTTATCTTCTGGGCCTGAACCAAGTTTTTTTGACTAATATATTGTATATAATAGTGTGCAATGATATATACAATATTTAATTAAATTGACTTTCTTGTGGGCTCGGCCCTCACTACAACTCAACCAAGTTTTTTTCTTTTCTTTTTTTTTTCTTTCCGTCACGCATGACTGAACATTCCTTTTTTTTTTTTTTACTTTATTTTCTCTTCCTGCATTGTTACAAAATTCCTTCTAGATTGGAGATGAACAACAAGTACAGGATAAAAAAAAAAAGAAAAAAAATCTTCCAATAATTTGTTTCAACTTCTACATCTTCAGTGGGCTATCAATTTTTATTTCAAAAAGTATGTTTTATTTAATTATTTTCTAGTTTTTATAACCATAATTTTGTATATGAGAATATTCAAAATTGATTTAATTTTTTATTTAGGGCTTTCATGATTTTGATAAAATAGCATCTTAAATGTTATTTCTTATTTGTTGCGCATTTTGTATGTATTATTTGTTTTAGGTATCTTCATAATTGTAATAATAGTTTTAAAATTAGCTCGTAATTTTTTAAGTTATAACCTAATGTTATTATTATTTGTCATATTAGTAATAGAGAAATATTATAAACGAAAATATACGAGTGTTGCCGATAAAAGAAATATCCAAAGAAAAAACCAAGAAAATCATGTTGATGTTGGCATGATGATCATTCCCGACTATCGCACAATTGTAATGTAACGTTTGTTATTTTTTTGGTTCTTTATTTTATGATTTGCATTGTGCCCCCTACTCTTAAATGTCTGCGTCCGCCCCTGTCGACAAACCATACCTCATTCTGCTCGTCTCGTCATGAGCTTTAAAAGTCTTAAATCAATATTGAAGATCATCAATTTAAAATTTATCGTAAATTGAGTTAATAAAAATTTTGTGTCCTATTAAAGTTTGCAATGGAGGAAGCAAATTATCCGTTTCAATTACTATGAAAGATAATTTGTCACTAAAATAAATTCCTAAGACAAACTCTAAAATTGACTTATATTTTGAGAGGTTAAAAAAATTTGGGAAATTTACACACATATATCATGTATCAGACTTATTATTAAAATTACGATTCCGTGAATCTCTTATCAAATGTATAATTCCATGGATAAGTATTAACAAATTTACGATATTAATTACTTGTCCAAACTTATGCCTTCAATTAATGTATCCGATACTCCCGCATTCAGAAGAACTTTTCATTTTTTTCTTTTATTTTCTTTTATTTTTTAAAGCTTTTATAGAAAAACAAAATTTCCAAATGTGATACTTACCATATTGTGTAGGAGATTTTACAAATTTCCAAATGTGATACTTACCATATACATACCCATCTTTTGCTTTGGATTGTAGATCGGAGGATTTTCGATTAGTAAAC